GGAAGTGGGTACTATCATTATCCCCATAAGGAACTAAGCCTTAGAAAGCTTAAGTAACACGCCCAAGGTTACTAAGCTAGAAAGTGGCAAACCCAGAGTCCATGAGTACTATTATGCCATAACATGTCCTTTTGTACCTTGCACATATTGAACATGATTCAGAGGGAGAAAATAAGCCAGCAAAGGTCTCTAAACTCTCAAAGCCTCTGTGTCTAATAACTACCTTTCTAATGTTATGGATTTGTCATTTTTGCCAACTTCAAATTTGAGATAACATTTGCAATCCTATCAGTCCTATTTTTAAATATATTGATACTAGAGTTGGTTTTGAATGGCTCTAGATACAGGTACACAAATGTATGCATGAACTCTGGATCCAGGCTAAAGATGTAGCAGTTGAAAGGGTAGAAATGCCAATGGAGACTTCTAATAGACCATCTAAATAGAAAGAGAGGAGGGAAAGAGAGGGGATAAAAGAAGAAAACTAAGAAATGGTGACTGGGCTTTTTATGTTATCAGTTATTGCATTAAACTGCTCATTTAATCCTTACAAGAATTTTATTATTAGCCTCATTTTATATGAGAGAAAAATAAAGTATAAAGAGGTTATTGCTGCTATTTGTAGATGAACAAACTAACTGAGACTTGAGATCAAAGTATCACATATCTGAAGTGTGAAAGCCAAGTTGAAAATCCAAGGTTTGCCGAACTCCAAAACCTGTGGTATTAATTACAGATTTGAGGGTAGCTCCCATGATTCCTACTTCCTGGTGTTCACACCCTGTGTAATTCGCTCTCCTTGAGCCTGAGTGAAACTTGTGACCTGCTTGTAAACCACAGACTATGGCAAATATGATAGGATATCACTCCATCTTGCTAGTAGATTCACTGTAGAGACTTTAGAGATACTCCTCATTGGCTTGATGAAGTAAGCAGCTGTGCTGGAAAATCTGTGGGGCAAGCAACTGTAGGTGGCTTCTAGGAACTGGCTCAGCTTCCAGCCAGCAAGAAGCCAGGGCTCTCAGTCCTGCAACTGTAAGAAAATGAATTCTGCCAACAACCTGAAGGAGCCTGAAGCAGATTCTTCCCCAGTCAAGCTTTCAGATGAGAACACAGCTTGACTGATGCTTTTGATTGCAGCCTTGTGAGATCTTAGGCAGAAGACAAGCTAAGCTGTGCCCTGACTCACAGAAACTGTGCCATAATACATGTGTGTGTTTTTTTTTTTTAAATTGCTAAGCTGGTAGTAATTTGTACACATCAACAGAAAACTAATATACCACATTACCTTGGTTTTCTCTACGCTTGGAGTACAGTAAATTCTTAGTAAATTGTAATTGTAGTTGTTATGATAATAAAAATGGAAATGTGGAATATCAGAGTCAAAGAGAAAGGTAATGGAGAAATTGAACAGAATTAAACAATTGCTTTCAAAGTAATCAAACTGATGTAGAAGACAGAAACAGATGGTATGTTGAAAACTTGTATATTACTTCCAATAATTATTTAGTGCATTATCGTGTTAAATATTATACATTTTATAGTAGTGCTTATATCCTCATTTAATTTCGACATCTTACACCATACTTAAATTGAAAAAGTTTCCTACATTAAGAGAGTCCTACATTATATATGAAGAAGTATCCAAACACAGTTTCAGGTTAAAGTCATACTGTTACAGATTATGATTTTTAAACATTGTGACATTTAAAAACAGTTTAAATGTGATGGATAAAATAATTCAGGACATTGGATCAAAAACCAAACCCTAATGAAACAACTGTCAGCATAATACTTTCAGTTCATGAGTGCATGTGGGTTTTACTTACAAAAGATAATTTATTTATACTAAAAACACAGTGTAATTATATATATTTGGCTGTGGATGGCTTTCCATTTGATAGATTCAAGGTTTGCTATTGTGGAACTAAGAGGGGTTAGTGCTTATATCTTACTAAATTGCCAAATGATTTTTTTTACTTGTTTCTTGCATCAGTGCCTCCTTTTCCCTCTGTATTTATATTGGCATGTAAGTGTATAGTTTCTGTCAAATGAGTCATTAAAAATGGCAGTGTTCATTGATTGAATAGATATATTAACTTCACTATTGCCACACACATACATATGCACTGAATGTATAGTAAACATAAGCATAGGCCTTTTATAGGTGTTATGGCATTTGAAAATTTGCCATTTTCCCTCTAATGAGATTATACGACCCTGATGCACATGATTTCATGATTCGTAACAGATACAGTAAATACGCCAAATACAGTACTAGCGATATGGCAGCTAAATATTTTCTTCATATTTGCTTCTTTTGAGGGCAATGATGGAATCTTAATTTCTGTCAATTTCTTAATTTTCAATTAATTTCTTAATTTTCTTTCATCTGTGCTTTCTGGAAATGAACACTAATAATATAGCTATACATATTTATTTGTGATTTGGCTTTTATGTCTAATACTGAAATGCTTCAAGTGATAAATGAATATATTAATTTGAAATTCATCTAGCTTTAATAATATTGCTTGTCTGGTTTACACTTTAAAAAAAAACTTCGCAAATTTGATCATCAACATTTAATTTTCTGTTTAGATTTAACATTATACATTGTTCTGTGGAAAAGTAAAAGTAAACATTGTGCTAAGTCCCCGAAAGAACTAAGTATAATACTCAATGTGTATTTTCTTTCTATGGTATGTTATCAACAGATGGATAATGAGGAAGCAAACCAGTCTGTCTTGTTCTAGTGTCTGGGACACACCTGATGGCTATCATTTAATCCAAGTGCCAACCATAACAATTTAGAATCTTATTTGGAACAAGTTGGGGCATAAACACAAATATTTTTTAAAAGGCCAAACCAGCCATTCTTAACATAGATTTTGTTTTGTTTCGTTTTTTGGAACAGGGTCTCACTCTATCACCCAGGTTGGAGTGCAGTGGCATGATCACAGCTCACTATAACTGCAAACTCCTGAGCTCAAGCAATCCTTCTGCCCAAAATGCCAAAGTGATGGGATTACAGTTGAAGGCAGCTTTTGAACTATTGTTGATTTCCTGATGTAGGTTCAAGATCTAGGAACTTGCTAAATCCAATTCTTAGTATATAGTCTATGAACTGATTGTGGGCATAAAGTGAAATCATTTTCCTTTCTGGCCTTAGATGAAATTTGGTTACTTTTTCCTTAATATTTTCATAGTATAAACTCATCTTTTTAAATTAAGAAATATAATTGACAAATAATTGTATATACATGTATGGGGTACAATGTGATGTTTTGATATATGCATACAACGTGGAATGATAAAATCAACCTAATTAACGTGACTTTCACCTCACCTACTTAGCCTTGTTTTTTAGAGCCAGGGTCTGGTTATGTTGCCCAGGTTTCATCTGGTTTTATAAGACATCAGGGATTTAAGAGGAGTTCTTTATTATTTTATAGTTAAATTTATTTCATATTGGAGATTGATTTATTTTCACCTTCCTTATTACAAGATTGTAGAGAACAGCATTTAGAAAAATACAATGGAAGACTTTCTTCTCAGCTATTTTTGTTGCTTCCTTTCTCTTTGCTCTTCCCTTCCCCCAACTTTAGCTCTTGGGTGGGTAAAATATTACTTCACAAACAGTTATGTTTGCAGTTTTCAAAGTGACTTCTTAGAAGTGAAACTTGCATCAACGTTTTTTTTTTCAATCCTCAACCATAAGAGTTGCATTTTCACTTTTGATTTGTTAAAACATACTGTCTTATAAATGCTTGAAAATTATTTGTAGTCAAATAAATAGTTTCGGAATTGAATGAAATCTTCCTAAAATTAAGACATATGCACTCAAATGATTGAGGACCTTTTTCTTCCCTTAAAAAAATACATATATATATTATAAGACATTTCCCTTCTTGTGCATTGTATTTTATTGTTTTAAGACTGCAAGCCCTCTGAAACCAGGCTGAAATGGAATACTGTTAAGAATCAGAATTAGGAGGTTTTTTTTTTGAGACAGAGTCTCACTCTTTTGCCCAGGCTAGAGTGAGTGCCGTGGCGTCAGCCTCGCTCACAGCAACCTCCAACTCCTGGGCTCCAGCGATCCTCCTGCCTCAGCCTCCCGGTAGCTGGGACTACAGGCATGTGCCACCATGCCCGGCTAATTTTTTCTATATATTTTTAGTTGTCCAATTAATTTCTTTCTATTTTTAGTAGAGACGGGGTCTCGCTCTTGCTCAGGCTGGTTTCGAACTCCTGAGCTCAAACAATCCGCCCGCCTCGGCCTCCCAGAGAACTAGGATTACAGGCGTGAGCCACCGCGCCCGGCCAGATTTAGGAGGTTTTAATACACACACTTCAAGTATCTCAGTCAAACAACAGGAATAACTGATTTCAGTGCCTGGGGAGCCCTGGAACTTAGGGAAGACTTGGAAAAGGAGGACGGTGTGGGAGAAAGGCCTCAATAGAGAGACAATGCACGGTTTTCAGAGTCCAGTGGGTTGCTGGGAGTGGGGGGGGGGATGACCTTTAACCTTTGAAAGGGCATTTATTTGGGAAACGCTAAATAGGGTTTACTTTGAGGGGGTGAAAGGAGAAGTGGAATCTTGTGGAAGTATTTGCTTTAATGGGTCCTGGGTGATTTAGGGACGTTTTCAGTCGGTTGGTCTGGCGGAGGGTGGGCGAGGGCCACGTTGTAAGGATCGAGTCCCAGTCCTGGGAAAGGCGGCTTTTGGGTGTTCCTGAGACCAACTCAGGGTCGGGGGAAAAGTGGAATTCAGCGTGAATTTTTGTCTTTGCGTGTAAGGACTATTAGAGGAGGCGCAGGGGAGCCACGCGGGGTATTCCCCGCCCCGGGGGAACGCCGACTGCGCCCGCGGCGGGCGCGCCGGCCCGCGCCGAGGCCCCTCTCCCGAGGCGGCGGGCGCTCCTCCCGGCCCGGGCCGCGGCCCTCCCGCCCCGGCGGAGCCGCGCGGTGGATTGTGGGCTGGGGGCTGCGGCGGCCTCGCAGCAGCCTCCGGCGCTGTCTCCCCGGAGCCGACCGGGCCACGCCAGGCCGGGCGGGCCGGCGGGCTGAGGCAAAGCAGTGGAGCAGGGAGCAGAAACGCTAGACGCAGTGGTCGTGGCGCGGCGGCGGCGGCTCCCCTGGAGGCCGGGGATGTGGGAGAGGCGGTGGCAGCAGCGGCGGAGGCGGCGCTGCGGACCCGGGGGGAACTGCTGGCTGACAGGACACCCGGGAGAGACGTGAGGGAGCCGCCGCTGCCGCCTCTCACCCCCGAGCGGAGCTGGGCTCGAGAGGGCGGCCCTGTGCTCCCCGGGCCAACAGGCCAGCCGGCGCGGGGCGGGGGCGGGAAGCCGGGCTCCGGCCCGGCCGGGCTCTCGGCGCCAGGAGGTGGCGGCCGCGGAGGAGCAGCCTCGGTGCGACGTGGAGGGCTGCAGGCGGCGGAGATGCACTAGGCCTCGCTCTGGGCGGCTGCCCGGAACCCGCAGGTAGGTGTGGGGCTGGCTCCCCCTTGGTCCCCAGCGCGTCGTGGCCCACCCTCACCCCGACCTACTGCAGAGAGAGGGACTGAGACCCCACCCCCTCTGTCACCTTCCCAGCCCGAAGCGGACAGAGTTTCACTCCCAACTGACTGGCGCTGAAGCTTCCATTCTCCTCTCTGCCACCTACTCTTCCTTTCACTCTCCCTCCGGGATCGGGGCTAGCAGCTGTGCTGCCCACCTTCTGTTGGCGGCCGAAAATGCCGCTCTGGCCCCTCCCGACCCTCTCGCCCCTCTCCGGATCCCAGCTCTGGAACTTCCACCATCCCCTTTGAAGCTGCCCTCAAACTTTCCCTTTTTTTTTTTTTTTTTTCCCCCCAGCCGGGCCCTTAGCTTCTTTGGATCCTACTGGAATAATTTAAAAAAATTTTTTTTTCCTCCCTCTCACTGGGGAAGGCTAACCCAAGGAATAATTCGGTGTTGTGCAGTTTGGCAATTTATGTCACAATAATTTGTTCAGTAATGAATTTTCTTCAGTTCTGCTTCCTTTCATCTATGGATAGATACCAAAGGCAGGCCATCCCTGCCCTCCCGTCGTTGACTTGGGAACTTTTGCCTGCCAATTATAATTAGCCACTTAGTATGTTCATGTGTTGAGTTCAGGATGGTATTTTTAGAATTTTGGCTGACGGGTTTGCAAAAAAAATTTTTCAAATTCTCTTTTAATGAGCTTTATTTTTTGGTCTTTATTGAAGTTCTTGCTTTCGAAGAATTAAATTTTTTGGAGTGTTTTTGTTTTTAACTGGCTCTATTTCTGATTTGTCAAACCCAGGCAGTCTTAACAGTAAATGCTTAACAAGGCAAGTGTTAGTGTGATAAATTACTTGTAGTGTACTGAGAAATAACAAACTGCAGATTTTGATGGACTTTCACTTTTATAAATCTAATTGGGAGTTCTAATTGGAAAAGTAGCTTGAGAACCTAAATGATTTCTAAGCAGTTATGATGAAACAGATGGAATAATGGAATTTGTTTTACTCTGTGTGTATGACAGCGTCTGATATCCTAGAAATGTATATTGATAGTTCATAGTGATCATCATTGCTCATGATAGGTTTGGGTAAGAATGATCAATATGTGTAATTGATAGTTGTGGTTTAGGAGATTAGATGTTTGCATTTTTATTGTGATTGGACTATTTTTAAATTATGAAAGATAGTATGAGGATCACTTTAAAAAGAAATGTTGTAATGGTTTTTTGTTGTTGTTTGAGACAGTTTTGTTTGGTCGCCCAGGCTGGAGTGCAATGGTACAATCATAGCTCACTGCTACCTGGAACTCCTGGGCTCAAGAAATGTTCCTGCCTCAGATTCTTGAGTAGCTAGGACCACAGGCACATGCCATCATGACAGGCTAATTAAAAAAAATTGTTTTTTTAGGGGCAGAGTGTTGCTGTGTTGCCCAGGCTAGTCTTGAACTCCTGGCTTCAAGCTGTCCTCCCACCCTGGCCTCCCAAAGTGTTGGGATTACAGGCCGGAGCCACTGCACTTGACTCTTTAATGGGTTTTTAAAATAATGAATCAACAAAACTGTAAAGACTGTCCATGGTTTTTTTGTTGTTGTTAATATATGTTTTGTTCTTACAGAAGTATTGTTATTATGGCATTTGGCTTTCTGAAATGTTTTTTATTGTTTTCAAAATTATGACTGGAAATATCCAAAGTTTAGAAAAAGATGTTTAAATTGCATATAAATGTTTTCTGGAAAAGTTAAAATTTATTTCTGGATAAGATAATTAAATTTTTATGTCAGAATTATAACCAAATCGTATACAGCCCATGAAATGGCAAACTTTGCAGAATTTTTTCTTAATCATACTCCTTTTCCTATCAATAAAAGTTAATTAAAATTCCTTTTTCCTGCTCCAAGCTTTTAAAAACAGCTTTATTGAGATATAATTAACAAATCATAAAGTACACCCATTTAAAGTGTACAATTCAGTGATTTTTAAAGAGTTGTGCAACCATCACTATTATCTAATTCTAGAACATTTTCATCACCCCCCTCCTCCAAAAAAAGAAAAAGAAAACCCTTTATCCATTCTCCTCACCTTCCTGCAAGCTTTAGGCAAACACTAATTTACTTTCTGTCTCAATATTTGCCTAATGTGGACATTTCATATAAATGGTATCTGCTCATAGCTTCTTGAAAAGCTTTTCTTTTAAAATCAATTTCCATGTTAAAATTTTTTATTTGAGTCAGGGAATAAGCAACTGATCACCTGTATTAAAACCAATGTTGTGGCCGGGCATGGTGGCTCACACCTATAATCCTAGCTAGCACTCTGGGAGGCCGAGGCGGGTGGATTGTTTGAACTCAGGAGTTCGAGACCGTCCTGAGCAAGAGCGAGACCCTGTCTCTACTAAAATTAGAAAGAAATTAATCGGACAACTAAAAATATATAGAAAAAAAATTAGCCGGGCATGGTGGCGCATGCCTGTAGTCCCAGCTACTCTGAGGCAGACGATAGCTTGAGCCCAGGAGTTTGAGGTTGCTGTGAGCTAGGCTGATGCCACGGCACTCACTCTACCCTGGGCAAAAGAGTGAGACTCTGTCTCCAAAAAAATAAAAAAAAAAAAACCCAATGTTGTAAACAACTGATACACTGTTTGGTTGTGTTTGGCATAAATATGAAGTTAGAGAAAAAAAATTAAGCATGAATGGTTTCAGTGACCTTAAGAAGTGGTTTAGTCAGCTGGGAGTCAGTAAGTAAAAGTTGGAGGAGTATTTTTGTCATTGAATATTAGAATATTAGGGCTGGAAAAGATCTTAAAAGTCATCAGCTTACTCCCTGCTTGTCTTTCAAATAGTGGGCAGGAACTAGATGAGGAAATCTGAAGAGTATAAGCTTGAATCTATGAGGTGCATGGCTCGAGAACCACAGTGTGGCCATGTAAAGCAAGAAATGGGGGTTTGGAAGTTGGAATTGTTATAGATTTTCATATGTGTATATGACATTTTGCTAGCAGAGATGGGAAAGAGCTGGACATTCCCCCAACTTTGGGGAAACATGGATGACTGTAATGTATCCATATAATTGAAATCCATTTTACAGAATCCTCTAAAAATGCTTTAACTTAAAGAAGGATCACAAATATATTATTTAGGTATCTTCTTGTACTATTAACATCTTATTTTTAAAAATTCAAATTTTAAAAATAAAATAAATTTTTAAAAATTATGGTTAACAGGGTTGGTTGGAGACTTCATTTTTCAAAGATCCAGGACTCTAACATCTAAAACAATGGTTCTCCAGGGGGTGATTTTGCTCAAGGGACATTTTGCAGTGTTCAGAGACATTTTTTGGTTGTTACAACTGAAGAGGGCTGCTGTTGGCATCTAGCCAGGGATGTTGCTAAATATCCTACAATACACAGGACATGTTCCACCCCATCCCTCCTACCCACACAAGAAAGAATTATTGAGTTCAAAAATGTCAGTAATACCATTCTATAATAAACCTATGGTTTGCATGGTTCTAGTAAGGGACTAAACTAGTGTTCTTAACCCCTACCAGCTGTGAAAATGCTCTCATTGGGCACTGTTTGGTGGATTAGATTAATAATTTAGATCCTCTAGTAACTCTTTCTTTGCAGGGGGAAGAGTTGAGTGAAAAGTAAATCTATTTATGACATAATGCAGACATTCTTTAGTCTGTTTAGTTGTCTTCAAGTCTGAAGAAAAAAACCTTTTTCCCCCTGAAAATAGCAGTCTTATTTTACTGCAAATTTGAATTACTGTTATATTTTGAATTGTTGGTTATTGTTGCACAAGTTTTTGAAATTGTAAGTAGAATGTAGTAGTTTCTTCTTTATCCAGAAGTGATTATTTTTCCTGGCAGCTACCACTGTCAAGAAAGGAGAAGTGGCCGGGCGCGGTGGCTCATGCCTGTAATCCTAGCTCCCTGGGAGGCCGAGGCGGGCGGATTGTTTGAGCTCAGGAGTTCAAAACCAGCCTGAGCAAGAGCGAGACCCCGTCTCTACTATAAATAGGAAGAAATTAATTGGACAACTAAAAATATATAGAAAAAATTAGCCGGGCATGGTGGCGCATGCGTGTAGTCCCAGCTACTCGGGAGGCTGAGACAGGAGGATCACTTGAGCCCAGGAGTTTGAGGTTGCTGTGAGCTAGGATGACACCACGGCACTCTAGCCCGGGCAACACAGTGAGACTCTGTCTCAAAAAAAAAAAAAAAAAAAAAAAAAAGAAAGGAGAAGTAAGCTAAGTGTTTTAATTAATTAATTAATGTGTATTGTGAATGTCCAGAAAAATTCAAAGCTTACACATGAAAATCTTCCTTTTTCTCCCCATAGGCCCCAGTTTCATGTCTTATTTAATGTTTTTAACATTTTAATTTGGTGATGAAAGAAGATGATTGACAGTTGAGATCACTTTTGCTTTTTATTATCCTTATAACTTTATAGGTAAATTCCTCAATCTTTCTGAGCCTTAGTTTTCTCATCTATAAAATACAGATGGTGATAATTCCTGTATCACAAGATTATTATAATAATTAAGCGAGGTAATATGTATTAAGGTGCTGTGTCAATTATACTGTATAAGTTACTGGCTTTAGAAGAATCAAATTAGAAAGGGATATAGAGGTTGTCAAAGGCAGGAATGTAGATAGCAAGGTGGAAAACAGTGACTGCTGACAGCCTCTCCAGGGAGGAGAGAAATACTAAAAATATGCGTATTGATAACTAGTAAAAAAACTAGTATATCACTGTAATCTGAAACTCCTTAATACAGGGACAAACTGATTTCCTTCAGTAGCTTGAGAGTATCAGTATTATACCACAGTGTAATGACTGATTATTATAATAGTGAAATTAGTTAGCAAAAAAAGGTCACCATGTTTTCAAAATATACTATTTCAGAAGACATGAAAATATATCATTTATTTCAGAGTTAAATTTTTGGGAAGTGACTTGTACAGAAAGTTCTTT